TTCTTCTCCTCGCTCCTCTATTCTCTTTCTTCTTCTCTTCTTCTCTCTCTCTCTCTCTCTCTCTCTCTCTCTCTCTCTCTCTCTCTCTCTCTCTCTCTCTCTCTCTTCCTCTCTCCTCTCTCTCTCTATCGCTGCGCTCTCTATTCTTTTTTTCTTTCTCTCTTCTCTTCTTTCCTTTTCCTCTCGTTCTTTCATCTTCTTCTTTTGCTCTTCTTCTTCCTCTTCCTTCTTTCATGTCTTCTTTCTTTTCTCTCTCTGTTTTTTTCTTTCATCTTTCTTTTCCTTGTATTTAGTGTGAGAGAAGCGTGTGAGGGAGGAAAAAAAAAATTAAATAGAAAGAGCAGGGAAAGAAGAAAGGAAGCGGAATAGGGAGGGAGCGATAACGAGAAGGAGGACGGAATGATAAGGAAGAGTTGGTGGGGGTGGGGGAGAGGGTGCAGAAGGGNATGAGGAACAACATGCACTGGGAGGCGATGGTGATGTCATCCAGCACTGTTTGGGAGATCCAGACCAGATTACTAATGTAAACAATAACGTGTACACAGAAATGGTCTATTTCGGTTGATTATTCGTCTGAACAGTAACTTGTGAAGATTTCGAAACGCAAAGCATTATTTTTATTTATAATTGTGGCTGTTTTCCTTTCTCTAATGCCGATATTATGGTGAAATAACATCTTGCAATATTTGGTATGAGAATAGAAAGTTATGAACCCAGTACTTACGATATTTTGACTTGGTAGTACTATCAACTCCAGTTTCCTTCACTTCCTTGGCGGCGCCATCAGAATTGCGAGCTTCCAAGAGTAAGTCCAGGAAATCCCCACGTCTTTCTCCTTTCATTCTTTCCTTTATTGTGTGTCTTACAACTTCCTCCAGGAAATCAGCTTCAGGATGAGTGAACCGGAGGTTGAGCAACTTTGCTAGGCTAGGTAACGTATTCATAAATAAGAATTTTAGAATATCGAAAGGAGTTGCTTCGAAAAATTTGTCAGCTTTTTTGGGGAATTCGGCGTCTTCGTCTACAAGTGAATTGCACTCGATGCCAAAGGCGCAAGAGGCAATAGTGTCTATGGTAAAGCGACCAAAATTGTATTTCATATCAACATAGGGTTTCCCTCGCGAGTCATTGAGAGAGAAAGTGACGAAGGCGTCGGCCTTTTCACACACAAGAGGAAACATTCCCTTCATTTTGCCCGAAGAGAAGGTCGGACTCATGATGGCTCTCAGCTGTTTCCATTCATCTCCTTTCTTTAACGACAACATTTGAGCCGTCATCTTGTCTTTTTCGTGTGGCAATGCTAAAGTCATTCTGTCGACGAAGTGGTCAAAGTCCTTCACGAGGATGTGTTTGAGGAGGTCGGGATCCCCCACCAGCAGGACCGGCGTAAAGAATTCATACAGTCCACAAAACTTCGATCCGCCATATTTGTGATAAGCCTGGAAGCAGATTTTGACAAAATATTCCCGTTAATGAACTAGAGTATGTAGTATATATATATATATATATATATATATATATATATATATATATATATATATATATCCGGTTTAGACAAAATATTCCCGTTAATGAACTAGAGTATGTAGTATATATATCGTGTCTTATACAGTGTAGGTCCACACACATACATTCATGTTTTGATACTTGGAAAAACATTATTGTAATTATGAAGACTGTTTTAAGTGAATTACCGTTTTCTATGTCTGTCCTCACCCTTCAAACATTTAACTGACGATGCTGTAGCGATTTTTAACGTTCTTAATTAATCCCATTTCGCTACTTGATTTGGCAATGGCGTCATTAAAATTATAAATGAACACCTTTCGATTTTATATGACATCAAAAACTATTAAATACGTGTTTAAAGGTAGAGTAACAAATATCTTAATTTAAACAGTCATATCTAACAAAACTCACAATACAGTCCGTACACACACACACATATATATATATATATATATATATATATATATATATATATATATATATATATATAGTTCAGGATCTGGGACGTAGCCAAACATTTGGGGGCATCTTTTAGGTTTGATGAAAATAATATACATGATATAACAAAAATGTTTGTTTAGTTGAACCTCGACAAATATCGAAATAATAAGTCCACTTATGCTTCTTAAATGTTAGTTATTGCTGTCAATGAATTAATGAGAACCCACCTCTTATGCAATCATCCATCAGGTACCTTAGTAGCCATTCAGGTCACTTATTGTTGTTGAAAGTCATGTACAGAATTTATCTTACTCATTTATATATTCTAGTAATGAACCGTATTCATGTTGACAAATGTAGAAAGGTATGAATGAGAATGAATATCTCCACAATGCAAGAGATGTATTTGACCGTTTTCGATATTATCTTCGTCAGAAATAGTATTTCTGACCGAAACCGGTCAAATGTATTTCTGATGTATTCAAAACCGGTCAAATGTATCTTTAGTATTGTAAAGATATTTATTCTCATTCATACCTTCTAACATATT